AGCTATTAGAAACAATAAGCTACTAGGAACAAGTGCATCGCTTCTAGTAACAAGTGCCTTACTAGTAGTAACAAGAAGGCATTTGAAACAATCAGCTACTAGGAACAAGTGCATTGCTTCTAGTAACAAGTGCCTTACTAGTAGTAACAAGAAGCTACTAGGAACAAGAATTAAGTTAGAAAAATGACGGACCACTCCATCATTCAAGTACTACGTATTCCAGGGTGTTTCTATCACTAAGGCCATGGCAGCGGAGCTGAACATGTATCATGCCCAGCTGAATGACTACAAGGCAGAATGGCAGAAACATGGCAAAACATGGAAAAGCATTGCCAAGATTTCTATTCTTGGCGAAATTCGTTTGAGTTTTCAGGACGAGATTGAGAGAGTGACCAAAGAGTTGCAAGACACCAAGCGAAGGCAGGATGACGCTCACTAAAAGGACACGGGCCGGCAAGATCTTGAGGTTTCAGATGCTTTCTCCCTAATAGCGATGGCCTCCAACCTACTAGCGATGGCCTCCAACCTAATAGCGATGGCCTCCAACCAAGTAGCGATGGCCTTGAACTTCCAACCTATATAGTAGCGATGGCCTCCAACCTACTAGCGATGGCCTCCAACCTAATAGCGATGGCTTCCAACCTAATAGGGATAGCCTCCAACCTACTAGCGATGGCTTCCAACCTAATAATTAGCGATGGACTCCAACCTAATAGCGATGGCTTCCAACCTAATAGCGATAGCCTCCAACCACCTAGCCTCCAACCTAATAGCGATGGCCTCCACCCTTTACTAGCGATGGCCTCCAACCTACTACCGATGTCCTCCAACCTACTAGCGATGGCATCCAACCTAATAGCGGTGGCCTCCAACCTACAATAGCGATGGCCTTCAACATACTAGCGGCCTCCAACCTATATAATAGCGATGGCCTCCAACCTACTAGCGATGGCCTCCAACCTACTAGCGATGGCTTCCAACCTAATAGCGATAAATAGCCATGGCTTCCAACCTAATGGCGATAGCCTCCAACCTACTAGCGATGGCTTCCAACCTAATAGCAATAGCCTCCAACCTACTAGCGATGGCCTCCGACCTACTAGCAATGGCTTCCAACCTAATAGCGATGGCCTCCAACTCCAACCTACTAGCGATGGCCTCCAACCTAATAGCGATGGCCTCCAACCTAATAGAGATGGCTTCCAACCTACTAGCGATGGCCTCCGACCTACTAGCGATGGGCCCCAACCCAATAGTGATGGCCTCCAACCTACTAGCGATGGCCTCCAACCTATTAGCGATGGCCTCCAACCTACTAGCGATGGCCGGCCTCCAACCTAATAGCGATGGCCGGCCTCCAACCTAATAGCGATGCCTCCAACCTACTAGCGATAGCCGGCCTCCAACCTAATAGCGATGGCCTCCAACCTATAATAGAGATGGCCTCCAACCTACAATAGCGATGGCCTCCAACCTATAATAGCGATGGCCTCCAACCTAATAGCGATGGCCTCCAATGCCTCCAACCTAATAGCGATAACCTCCAACCTAATAGTGATGGCCTCCAACCTACTATAGGCCTCCAACCTAATAGCGATGGCCTCCAACCTAATAGCGATGGCCTCCAACCTACTAGCGATGGCCTCCGACCTACTAGCGATAGCTTCCAACCTAATAGCGATGGCCTCCAACCTATAGTAGCGTTGGTCTCCAACCTAGTGCTTTCGTTTTTAGCCTTTATGTATTATTTTTCTTGAGGTACTTCGAGCAAAGACATCGTGAGCAGCTCCTGAAGGACCAACACAACCCAGGGCAGAGAAGAACTCAGCTACAGTTTTTTTGTCAAAAGCGAAGACCTGGTTGCTAAGTGTGTGAAGTGGAAAAAGAGCATGGCCAGTGCCTCACTTGCTTTCTTTTTCTCACCTTTTTCTTGTTGCTGAGCCGAAGGACACTTCAAAGCCAGACAAAGGTGCGAGATAAGTCGTTTCCTCGACAAAGCAAAGGAACATCTATGTTCAATTGTTTACAACTGTCAAATCTGGACAAAACACATCAATCAATTAGCTTCCTCAATTGGGAACTTGTGGCAACCTAAGGCATCCCGTGAATGTGCCGCCAGCCCAAGAAGTTTACAGAATACCACAGCATCGTATGTATGATGCAATATGTACAACATCAAATCGCAAAATGTGCTTTTGTGAATTATTGCCATGCATTCAGCAATTTCAGAAAGGAGAAAGTATGACAGTATGGCAGTGTTTGTATAGTCTTGCTATGCTTCCTCGTCCTGCATTTTTTTGCCGAATAGTTTGCAAGGCTGAATCAGCCATGTTTCACCCTTGCATGACAACTGCCGTTCTGAAGAACTGCGGTTGAAAACATTTCGATCGCTGCCTTGCGTCCGCTTTGACACACCTGGGCCTTGGAAGGTTTGAAATGAATTGATGACCCTAGTAGCTTCTTGTTCCTAGTAGCAAGAATGCTCCTAGTAGCGATGCCAGGAGCCCCTAGTAGCTTCTTGTTCCTACTCAATCTTTCACCTTTTCAGCAAAATTAGAAGCCCTAAAGGCAAGGGCCGCGCGAGGGAAGCGCTAGTCGACTCTGTTTCTCCGCCAATGGATGTGCAGAATGCCTCTTGGCAGCGACTGCAATACCTGCGAACACTGCAGTTGAGCAATTGGTAGAGGAAGCAGCCCTTACTCACTCCAGCTTTCACAACTTTGAAGAGCATGCCAGTTGCTGCTAGTTGGTTTGACGTGAACTTTCTGCATTTTCAGCATGGGTGGAGGGTTGCGAAAGAGCTGTTGCTCCAAGGACCATAAAAGCCAGGCAGCCATGAGCGTCCCATCCCCAGAGCAACTTTTTGGTGTACGGATGTCCATGGGTTTCCGCACTCACCCAGTAATCCAGAGAATCCAGAGTTTACAATCAGAGTGAAACATTTTTGCCACTTAGCTACTTCTTCAACTAAAAAGGGACATCCTTTGGGGTAGGATTCCCATGCTTGATAGAGTTGAATTTTTTGAACTGATTCCTCATTCCTTTTCACCAGGTCATGCGCCTCGGGAAGCTGCGCACACAGCTCAACGAAGTAATGATAATCGAGGTGCAAAGAAACAACATGTGGGTGTAGTGGAAACGTCACAGATCATTCCGGTTCCACACTTGTCAACTCTTGAATCTCTTAAAAGTATTTGACCGAAGCACATGATGTAAATTTGAAGTTTTAAGTGCTTTAAGCTCCAGGAGCTTGATGGCCAGGAGGTTTGCCGCCTGGTTGAGAGTGAGGTGCGGTTCT